AGCAATACCTGGATCCTAGGGTAGACCAGTGTTTAGTTTTTTAGGACCTTCTGCAGGATTTTTCATGCAGCTGTACAAATTAACATTCTCCCCAACAAGGAATAAAAGTTCCTTTTTAAAAAATTGTTGTTTTTTTTTTTTTTTTAAGATTTATTTATTTATTATGTATACAGCATGTATGGCTGCAGGTCAGAAGAGGGCACCAGATCTCATTAGGGATGGTTGTGAGCCACCATGTGGTTGCTGGGAATTGAACTCAGGACCTCTGGAAGAGCAGTCAGTGCTCTTAACCTCTGAGCCATTGCTCCAGCCCTAAAAAACTGTTTTCTATGCCTAAATGTGTCATTTCTTGTTTTACTTTTCCTGACAACAGTTTCTTTAACTCCATAAGATAGCATCTCCTTGTAGTTTTGATTTGAATTTCTCTGGTGGTGAATGACACAAGCATTTTTCAGGTCGTTGTTGGCTGTTGGTATTTCTTCCTCTGGGAAATGTCTACAGGGATTATTAGCCCATTTTTAGATGGAATCACCTGCTGTCTGTTGAATGCTCTGGATGTTAAATCTGTCAGGTGAGTAGCTGGCAGGCATTTTCTCCACTCTGTAGACCGGCTTTTAAAGTGGATGTGGTTCCATTTGTCAACTCTCTCCACGTATTCTATGCTTTTGCAGTCCTATCCAGAAAATAGATCATCTGTGCCACTGTTTTGGAGTATTCCCATTATTATCCCATAAGCTCCATTATTTCTAGGAGTTTCTGGATCTCAGATCTTTGATATTCTTTGAGTTTATTTATTTTTTCTTCTTGCAGTGCTGGGAACTGAACTGAGGGTTCAATGCATGCCAGGCAAGCCCTCTACTACTGAGCCACACTGCCAGCCCCATCCAGTTGATTTTTGCACAGAACAAGAGATTGTTATGAAGTTTCAATCTTTTCCAGTTGTGTTTTTGGAGCTTTGTTGTAATCCTTTGGTTCTACCTCTGGGCATGCCATCTTACCCCCACTGATATGTGTCTCTGTCTATATGGCTCTGTGGAATGTCATGATGTCAAGTCCTGTGGCGTTTCCAGCTCTGTTCTTTTTCTATGGGTTAAGATCATTTTTCTTGTCCTGTGAAGAGTGTCATTGTTATTTTGATGGGGGTTGAATGCTTTTTGATGTGATTGTTTTGTGCAGAATAGGCATCTGTTTTTTAGATTTACCATTTTTTGTTTATGTATGTGTAGCTGCACATGTGGAAGTCAGAGGAGTTGAATCCCTTGGAGTTGAAGTTACAAGCACTTGTGAGCTGCTGTGTGGGTGCTGGGATTCACACTGGTGTCCTTACAAGAGCAGTACAGGCTCTTAACAATGGAGCCATCTCTCCAACCCCAGTATGGGAATCTCATCAATACTCTGTTTTGGGTTTGTTGTTTGTTTTTGTTTTTATAATTCAAGAGCATGGATGATCTTTCCAGTCTTTTCTGCCTTGTTTAATTTCTCTCATCAAAGTTTTGTCTTTTCATGGCAGAAGTCTTCCACTTTCTTGGTTAAGTTTATTCCTGGTCCCCCCTCCCCCAGGAGGGAGTGCTTCTGTGTATGCAATTGCTTTTATGATCTGTGTACTCTTCCCCTCCTCCTCCTTCCCCCTCTTTCTTCCCCTCCTCCTTCCCCCTCCTCCTCCTTCCCTATTCTTCCTTCCTCTCTCCCTCCTCTTTCCCCCCTCCTCCTTCCCTCCTCCTCCTTCCCCTCCTCCTCCTTCCCCTCCTCCTCCCCCTCCTCCTTCTCTTCCCTTCTCCTTCTCCTTCCTCCTCCTTCTCCCTTCCTCCTTCCTCCTCCTTCCCCTCTCCTTCTTCCTCCTTCCTCCTTCCCCCTCCTTCTTCCTCCCTCCTTCTTCCTCCCTCCTCCTTCCCCTCCTCCTCCCCTCCTCCTTCCCCTCCCTCCTCATTCCCCTCCCTCCTCCTTCCCCCTCCTCCTTCCCCCTCTTTCTTCCTCCCTCCTCCTTCCCCCTCTTTCTTCCTCCCTCCTCCTTCCCCTCCCTTCCTTCCTTCTCTTTCATTTCTTCCACCTCCCTTCCCCCTTTTCCTCCTCCTCCTTCAGATAGCCTTGAGCAGTGGTCCTAGCTACCCTTGAAATCCTGACCATTCAGTCTTGACTTCCCAGAACATCGAGATTGCAGGTGTGTGCCACCATATCCAGCTTGCATTCATGAGTTCTGTATTGTTGGGGGGGTTTGCTCTTTTGGGGAGCCTGTCACCCTTCTCCCAAATAAATCACACATGGAGGTTTATTTTTTCTTATGAATGTCTGGGCTTAGCTTGGCTTAGTTTCTAGATGGCTTTCCTTAACTTAAATTGTCGCATCTACCTTTTGCCTCTAGGCTTTTCCTGTTCTCTTACTTCTGTAAACCTTACTCTTACTCTGTGACTTACCGTGTAGCTGGGTGACTGGCCCCTGGAGTCCTCCTCCTTCTCTGGCTCCTAGCTCTCTCCTCCAAGTTTTCTCCCTCTCTATATATTCTCTCGGCCGGCCAGCCCTGCCTATTCTTTCTCCTGTCTCATTATTGGCCAGTTCTTTATTAGACCATCAGGTGTTTTAGACAGGCACAGTAACATAGCTCCACAGAGTTAAACAAATGCAACACACCTTAAAATAATATTCCCCAACACTTCTGGCTCAGCAAATTCATTATCAGTGTTTAGAAAGGCTAATACATGTATGTTGACATCTACCCAGCTACAACACTAAATTCATTAGAACTTATTGTCCTCCAGTGGAATCTTTATGTTTTTCTGTCTAAAATCATATAATTTGCTATTGTAGTAGGGATGGCTTGATGTCTTCCCTTTTGTTTAATTTGACTAAAAATTCTAGTAGTCCATTGAGTAAAAGTTCTCAGCAGAGTGGGCAATTGAGTCCTGTCTCCAGTGTTCCAGATCATGCCTTCAGGTGTCCTCCTTCGGGATGATGCTGGCGTGAGTTCTCACACTTGACCTTTAGTGTGTTGGAGTTGAAGCACCATCCTTTTATACCCAGCTTATTCCAGGCTATTGTCATGGGAGGATGGAGAAGTTTATTAACTGCCTCTCTGCATCTGTTGAGATGGTGCTTCTTCAACTTTATTCTCTTGGTTCTTATGGCGCTTTTAAAAAATCATTTGCAAATATTTTTCTCAGGCATTTTATCCATTTTTAAAAATGTGTCACTAGAGAGCAACTATGTTCTTGTAGAGGCAATATATTATCTTTCAAAAAAATATTTGTTTCCCTACATGAGACCTGCATACCTGATGATGGGCCAGACATCTTTCTTCTTTTTTATTTTATTTTTTTTCCTGTGAGTTTTTTAGTACATGGCTTTCTCCTGAAGATTTGTCTTGAAGTGTTAGCTTATGCACTGTTGGTTTTGATTCTAACTGGACACTGTAGTATGGCTTGCTTGTCACTTCTTGGGCTGTGATTAGTGAGTTTAGAACAGTGTGTACTGTGCAGAGTCAAGGAGACCCACTGCCTCTGTGAGCCATGCAAGAGTGGGGACACCCAGGAGAGCTGGGAAGATGACTCAGTGTATAGCAGCACTCGCTGGGTAAGCACCAAGTCCTTAGGTAGGATCTTAGACTCTCCAGCACTCCTTGGCATGGCTGCATGGCCCTGTTACCCCAGCATTGCAGGACAGAGACAAGTAGATTGGTGATCCTGCTCACCAGCTACCCTCGCCAAAACAGCAAACTTCAGGTTTAGTGAGAGACAGTTTCTCAGGAATAAGACAGAGGGAGAAAGGAAGATATCTTCCTCTGGCCTTTACATATGCATCCATAGATGAATGTATCTACACACACACCACCACCACCACCACCACCACCACCACCACCACCAAATAATGGGGGCATTCAAACAGTTGAGGTAGGAGATATGCCGACAACATTAGATTTGGGGTACTTATGGTATGGCTACTCCTACAGTGGGATGGTGGCCCTTACCGAGCAATGAGACTTCCTTGGGCTTTCTTGATTGTAGCTTTGCCACTTTGAAGGCCTCTGGCACTGCCAACGTCAGTAGTGTCGAGGGTCCTGAAACACTTTCCTCTACCTGGGTGGCAGTAAGAGTCAACATCCTTCATGAGGACAAGCAGAAGCAGGAACCACACTATCCTCCTCTTAGCCTCCCGTTGGTCCTGAGAACAACACAAGGCCAGACGAGGTAGATAGAAGGAGAAGTAGCACAAAGCGGAGCATCCTTCTCTGATGCTTCGGTGGTAGCACCTATTCAAGTAGGACCTTGGCTAGAGCCAGGGAAAGTTGTACTTACTCCCCAACGCAGGTGGGCATAGCCAGAGGTTGACCCATAGCCAGAGTCATAATTTCTCCAGGCTCCCATGTGAACAGGGTGATAGCAGGAGTCATGGCGGTTGTCTCTATCCTATCTTTCACAGAGCCATGATCATGGAGCAGCAGGGAGGGATGATAGGAACTTTGTGAGTGTCTGCTTTCAGGCCTAGTACTGGTAGGAGTCCACCTGCTCTCTCAAGTCCTCATTCTTAAGTATGACAGTCTTCATTTTCCATCCTGTGGAAGACAGCCAGAGGGCTAATGTTCAAGTAGTTCTACTGGGCTAGGTTGAGCCCGTGAGGAACTTCCTCCTAGAACAATGCAGTGGACTATCTGGGTTCTCAGAGGTGGGGACAGACAGGCTTTATGACTCACAGAGTCATCTAAAGTCAGACAGTACTCTCTTTCTCAAGATGGCTTCTGGCTGTAGCACTCCAGGGGGTTGATAGGAGAAGATATGTGATACATGTCCAAAGCAGTGCTCCTATGCATATTTCAAGTTACTTATCTACCTGAGCTGGGGACCTAGGAAGATCATAAAATTCTCCCGTATCTGGGATGGCAGCGTCCACACTGATAGAATTTGCGTGGACTCTCTTTCATTCTGACCATGGCAGAAGAGGCACTTCCTGACCGCCGGCTGCTGCATTGGAGTGGAAGAGCTGCGTTGGTAATTTTCTGTAATTTTTCACAGGGTCTCTAACTCTCACAAGTTTCCACTCTCTGCCTTCTGACTCCCAGTGTTCTCCATGATTCACTCCCCAGGAAATGTAGTCACACACCCGTTACTTTGGTCCTGCCGCATAGGAGAGGAGGTGAGTGCGGGGCAGCTGTATTCCACCATCCGGGAACTCTCCAGCAATTTTGCCTTTTTTGCTAGTGACTCTGAGTCTTGAAAAGTAGTTAAAGACTCCCTGGTCAGTAGCCACGGACATGATCAGGGGTTTCCTTTGATTCCCTTAGTCTGTTACTTTCTGCATCAAATCCCCCTCACCCCCACCCCCACCGCATTGAACTCGGCTTTGTGTTAAGCAAGAGCTACTGATTTAATTATCTATATTTTTTCTAAACGGGCACTCATTTGTCTTGACAAGGTGTGCACTCTTTTTTTTTTTTTTTTAATTTTGACAGCTGGGTCATTTCCCCAAGCCATAGCTGACCTGTTAACATTCCAGGTATGAGGCCGAGAGGAAGTAAACTAATTTGGAATCTAGGAGCAGGGCCAGCCAAGAGAGACAGTCACTAGAGTCTAGGGCAGTGAATCTTTGGAAGGCACCAGAGTTGGCACACCTGCTTGGATCCTTTTAGACTTGGTGGATTGCTTGAACATGACTTATCAGTGATAAGCAGTATGAGCTCCATCCCGGAAGAAAGGAAGAGCGCCCGTTGCTGTTCCCAAAGATGGGGACTCTTCTGTATTGGGTTATCTGCTATTTTATAACATCACACTTCTATCAGAGACCTGGATTTCACATTGTCTGTTTTCCAATGTTTTCAAATTCTACCTTCAGCTATCACAGAAAACCTTTTGGTCAAAGGTAGGAGTAGACAGGAAGTCCTTTTCTTCTCAGACTCAAGACAGGCACTCTGATCTGTTGGTCAGGTGTTTTCTTGGTTCTGATTTGTTTCTTGGCAAGGTACACATGATTGTTTTCACAGATATACACTCCCTGTCAAAGGGTGTATTGTCTTATTGGACACATGGAGCTATATGTTTATTCAGCCTTCATTTACTCAACATAGTTTCCAATGGGTTGATTTGCTTCTGGGGACCTCAGTGCCACACCTGGAGATATGGTCAATGGAATCTTCCTAACTTGGAATTGTTGGGGATGGGGGCATGGGAGAGAGAGCACTTCCTGGAACCATCTTTAAAACCATATATATTTTCTTCCACACAGAATATTTTCCCCCCATCTTAATTTGGGAAACAGATCTGCTACAGCTGCAAGAACATGGGCTCAATCTGGGACAGTTTATCCATCCCCACCAAAAAAACAACTAGCTGCATTAATTACTTTTTGTTATTGTGACAAAATACCACACCCCAAAGCAACTTAAGGTCCCAGAATCTATAATCACAAAGAAGGCATGGCAACAGGTGGCCAGAGCAGGAAGCTGGCTGATCACACGAGAAGCTGCGAGAGTCACCTGGGAGTGAAATGAGGCCAAAGTGTGCCCTCAGCGATGCTCTTCTTCTAGCAAGACCCCACCTAAAGGTTCCATAACATCCCACACCAGCTCCAGCTGGAGACCAATTACTCAAACATTTCCTACTCAAACCAGTATACTAACACCATAGATAAGGCTAGCCTTGGTCCATGCATTCTAGTTAGCATGATTCTTTCAAATAGCACAAAAAGCAATTATTTCTGCAACCTTTCTGCATTCGGCTGAGTGTGTGCTCAGAATTAGCTGAGGTTTTAGGAGCCAGGAGCAGATGATGCACAGGACCTCTACATGCACAGGACCTCTACATTTTAGTTTCTGAAAATTTAAGAACTTAAAACATTCTTGTGTGCATTGAGGAGTAGATGTCGCCTGACATATTCTGGGACTAATGATTAGAAACTGTTTTAAACTGCACCTTAGCCTAACAAATGGCTATATTTTCTTCTGCTTTGGCAAAATTTCTCCTCCACAGACAAAAATCCTAACCACTGTCATAAGGTAACCTATAAAGAAAACTTAGAAGGGGGCCTCTCATGACTTTATGACATTTAAACCCGTAGCATGATAGTGCATACAGACAGACAGACGTATTATTGCCTGTGGTTCCTAACTTTTTCCCTTAGACAAGGTGTAGCTCCATAAAAACCAAAAGGATAGGCTTCATAGGACCTCTGGATAGCTGAACATGTGTGGGTTCCCTGAGCATGGCACATCTGGAGAGGGTATGGAAACCCCAGGGCCTATAATACATACCTTACCCTATGCATCTCATTATCTGCTTTTGTAATAGTGTTTATAATGAACCAGGAAGCTTGAGTACTTCCCTAAGTTCTGTGAGCCTCTTTGACAAGCTAACAGGATCTGCTGAGGGGGTTATGGAAGCCCTGGTCTGTAGCAGGTCAAATGACCTATGTCTTATGACCGGCATACAAAGGTGGGTGGGGCAGCCTAGGCACAGAGTGTTAAACCTGCTGTACCTGATAGACTAGGCAGTGTCAGAATTGGACTGTGTCGGTGGTAGCTGGTGGCTGTTGCAAATTTTCTTTTCTTTCTTTTCTTTTCTTCCTTCCTTCCTTCCTTCCTTCCTTCCTTCCTTCCTTCCTTCCTTCCTTCCTTCCTTCCTTTCTTTCCTTCTTTCTTTCTTTCTTTCTTTCTTTCTTTCTTTCTTTCTTTCTTTCTTTCTTTCTTTCTTTCTTTCTTTCTTTCTTTCTTATTTTCAAGACAGGGTTTTCCTGTATAGCCCTGACTATCCTGGAACTCACTCTATAGACCAGGCTGTCCTCATACTCACAGAGATCCACCTGCCTCTGCCTCCCAAGTGCTGGGATTAAAGGTGTGTACTGCCACGGCCCGGCTACCTGCAAATTTTCTTACTTGCTTGGTGTGTGAAGAAAAACAAAAGCCTCATATATTGGTCTGATGTTATCTGTGTTGTGTGTTAGAAAAATTAAAATTTGAGGTTGTCTTTCCTTTGTACACCTCAGAAAATCATACTATCAATTTATAGCTATACGAGAAGAAAAGTATAGTAAAGACAAAAGAACCTGAATTCAGCTTAGGTATCCAGTGCCTGAAGAAGATGCAGGCACAGTGTCATAGAAGGCATGAGTCTGATAAGTAAAAGTAGAGTGCAGAATGTGTTCATTCTCTGAGTGCCTTCTTTTCCTGATTTTACAAACCACGATTAGTGTCCCTCACATTTGTAGATGCCATGCCAAGTCATAACTGAAGAGTTAATATTAACATCTATCTACATCGTGTAACTGTTCAAAGAAAACATCTCTGGGTAAATGAGAGCCTCGGAAGAGCCTTCTTTTCCTTCTGAGTTAATGGACAAGATGCTCAATACATGTTCTTGGGGAGCACGGTTGGGCATGTGTATAATCCCAGCACCTCTGAGGCAGATCTCTGTGAGTTCAAGGCCAGCCTGGTGTAAAGAGCGAGTTCCCAGCCAGTCGTAGTTAAAGACTGAGACCTTGCCTCAAAAATAAAAAAGTTTGTTGTTGCTTTGTGATTATTTTTCTTTCTGTGCATAAGACTGGACAGAGGACTGTGCCATACCAACCACATACTTTCCCACTGAGCTACACCCTGTGCCTTGGTAAAGGTTTTCATTTTTCACTGTTTGCTCTTACTGAAGTTATATATGTGATTCTGTTAGCTGATGCTACACGATCGCCTTCCAGTTTTCAGAAATGAGAAACTCTCTTTCCTCTAAAATTATTGTCATATCAATTTCTCAATATGCATGGAAAACATCGATTAATTTCCTTGTTCAATTCTATGCCTGGGCCTTGTAGACTGACGCTAGCCTTGATGTGTCTGCTGGCTTTGGACTTGGCTATCTTAGTACAGAGTAGAGCTGCATTGTTCAACATTGTGTAAGAGGAAATACTACGGTTTTACCTCTTCAACTCATGGAGGGACTCACCTTGTTTTCCTAATGTTTATTCACCTTTTCTTTTGATTATTTCATTATATTATGACTCTGTTTGAGACTTATCAGTACATTTTCAAAAACTGATTTTTAAACATTATGCCAGGCTGGGTGGTGGTGGCGCACGCCTTTAATCCCAGCACTTGGGAGGCAGAGGCAGGCAGATCTCTGTGAGTTTGAGGCCAGCCTGGGCTACAGAGTGAGTTCCAGGAAAGGTGCAAAGCTACACAGAGAAACCCTGTCTCGAAAAACAAAACAAAACAAAACCCAAACAAACAAACAAACAAACATTATGTCAGGCCATTGTAACGACTCAAATGGCCCAAGAGGAACACATTTTGATGTTATGGGTTCCTGTGCTCTTTTGTCATAGTTCTATGAGACTATAGACACTGTGTTCTGACCAGAATGAAGTTTTGTGTTCCTGAATCTTTTAATTTTTTAAAATGATTTATTTATTTTTATTTTACATGCATTGGTGTTTTACCTGCATATATGTCTGTGTGAGGGTGTTGGATCCCCTGAAATTGGAGTTACAGATAGTTGTGAGTGGCCATATGGGTGCTGGGAATTGAACCAAGGTCCTCTGCAAGAACAGCCAGTACTCTTAAGCACTGATTCACCTCTCCAGCCCACATCTCTGAATCTTATAAAATGCTGTGATCAGCATTATGCACCCATAAGTTGCAAGCTTGAAAATCAACTGTGTATAGTTTTTAGTAAAGCTGCTTTTCCCTAGAAGAATAATATATATATCTATATAATATAATATAATATAATATATCTATATATAGATATATTATCTTATATAATATAATATATCTATATATAGATATATATATCTTATATATCAAGTACATTCATTTGTGTGGAAGAATTACAGGTTATAGCCAAATGTGGAAATAACCTTAGTGGGAGCAAAGGACCAGAAAACACAACCAAAAATTTTACCTTGTAGATGTACAAAACATGGGTGTGTCTTCAGACTGGCTGGCTCTGAAGGGCTAAATCAAATCTATTCAGAACATCATCCCCTGAACTCACTAGGAAAATCACTTACATTTCCATGGGAAGGGTGTGAGCTGATAACTGAGGGAAAAACTAATGGAAACATGAGGCTAAGGAAATGGATGTAGATCAGTGATTCTCAACGTTCCTCACACTGCAACCCTTTAATACAGTTCCTCACGTTGTGGTGACCCCCGG